AACTATATAAGTATTTATAGATATTGCATGAATATTACTTATAATATTGGCGTTCTCTTTGACTCAAGGAAAGTAATATGAGGAGTTTAGAGCTGACATTTACACTGAGAAAGTGAATGGAAAAATGAGAAAGTGTCGATCGAAATTCTTTGCAATCTTCGTTGCCTTCTCCAACACTTTTCACTCTGTCTGAAGATAAGGTTAGTGCGAAACTGAAGAACAAAATGGTATCTAGCAATGATTAATCATTTTATTGCTATGTGCGATGCATCTTCACTGGGTTCTCCAGCCGGTACAAAACTGAAACAACAGATGCGGAACATCTGTATAATTTCTAGCATTTGAGGATGAAATCGCATAATTAAGACATACCTTACCCGAAGCTGTCAGAAAAGTGTTCCTGTGAATTCCGCAACAGATGTATTCCAATGTAGGTCTTTCGACAAACTTAAAAATCACAAACTGGATGGAAGCTGATAGAACTGAGTCCAATGCCTGTTTAACCCCCGGCATCGAAATTAGAGAAAAAATACTAGAACATGAGCATTTCAGGAGTACATTAGCCTACAAAGTAAGAAAGTTTAAGAAGGTTCGGTGCATTGAGAGCAGTGATAAAAAAGTCACTCAAGCTTTGAAGGACGAACTTGCTGGAACTTTCACAAAGCTGAGGGAACAAAGCCTTGTATTCTGAAAATTTCTCCTACGCTGATATACTCAACGCCTTGGCTGCTCTTGACTATTCTATTTATGTGTAGCACTAATAGGAGAGAAGAAAGAATGTAACTTTAGTGGAGACCACTGTCAACGCTGCAAGGCTTCGACTAAACGCTCTTTACTCTGGCGCAGCACCTGATATCAGCATATAATGTTTGGATGGCCTGTTGCAATTAGCCGTCAATCCTATACGTTCACAGGCATACCCAGAAACTGTTGCGCGGGACTCATATTCTCTCTCTCTCCCTCTTTCTCCAAATTAGGTGCATAGACCTGTAGCAAGATAAACGGTT